GGGCGCAGGGGCAGGGCATGACTGATGCGCCCTCTGCCTGCGCTTATGTGAGAGAAAGCGTCCGAGGGAGGGAGCGTGCCGAGCCCGGCTGCCCTCCCCTCTCACTTTCCCTCGGAAGCTCTCTCCCTCCAGCTTCCCATTTCCCTCGCCTCCTCCCCAGCGGCCCCACCTCCCCCTCTCTCCTCCGTCTCTTTCCCCCTCTCTGGATCCCGCGGCGGGAGGTGCCAGTTCGGTCTCCGGGCTGGTGGGCTGCAGGGCCAGCTTCAGAGGCAAGGCTACCACGCTGGATAAGTTGGAGCGGGGAGAGAAGTAGGTAGAGTGGGCCGACCCTTTGTCCTTGGCAGTTCCCGGGCTCTGGTCCTACTCTGACCACCTCGCCTTCAGCGCGCTGCTCAGAGTCTGGAAACAGCCCTGGAGTTCTGAGTTCCAGGGGAAGAGTCATCATTGTGGCATGGCAGAGACTCCTGAGGTCCTTGTAATAAGCAAAGGCCCCCGTGTTGCCTGGAGAAGCAAGAAGTTCAGGAGTTCTCAGACTGCGGTGCAGGATCTTGGGATGGAAGCTCATGATCTCTTTGGAATCTTAAACTTCTAAAACCCCATGGGAAGAAGGGCCAGAATCCTCATGCAGAGTAAAGGGGCACAGGATCAATTTCTGCGTGAAGATAGATTTATACTGAAGGGATGATAAAGAGACAAATTCAACATATTTAGAAGGAAGTGACATCTGCAGAAAAGTGACTGCATTTGCCCCTTGGAAAAGCACCCTGAGGCTGCGTGGTGGTGCCTGCTCCGGGGGCAGAGTGAGCAGCCTGCAGAGGACCCAGTTAAGGGGTTTCCACAGTGGGCAGATCGTGGACAGCATCCCTTTTACCGTTGCCTACTTTTAAATATGCCGGTCTTGCAGATTCCTAGAAGCTGGGATAGAGAAATGACTTTCTTACCTGACTCAGGTCTCTTCAAACTTCATGAACTTGAAGGCTTGAATACCTTCAAGGGTAGGGAACCCTCCACTCCGTGTGGCTGTCCATTCCCTTCACTGTTGAGCAGCGTTGCTGAAAAGCGTTTTCTTCCCTCTCCCCATAGCTTTTGACTTCTCGAGGGTACACAATAAACCTAATCTAATTACCACATGTAAGTTCCTGGAGTATTTTGGAAATATGTGTTCTGTTCTTCCTAAGATAGCTTTTCTCCCAGCTAAAGGTCCCTTTTTTCCATAGGACAGCTCCAGTTTTCCTATTCCATCATGCTGTCAGTTTGCCAGGTTCATAAAGCGTGCTGCTCAGACCATGGCTCTGTACTTTCAGTGTTCCAATAAGCGTGCAGGGAAGGGTCTTTCTTGTCCAGACAGTATGTATTTGTTGACACAACCTCCGATGGAGTTTATTTTCTGGCAGCCAAATCATACTGTTGACTCACACTATCCTGAAAGTCAAGTGAACTCCTCATGAATTTTTCATGTATGCTGCTGGTAAGTCACGTCTACATTACCCTGCATTTGCAGAGTTGGTTTACTGTGCCCAGATTTGAGCTTTGATATTTATCTCGATGAAATCCTATTCTTCAAGCGCAATCCATCATCACAGCTTGTTGAGATGTTTTGGGATCAGACACTGTGTATTGTTCCTCCTCCTGTTTTCCTTGATCCATTTGCTATACTTTTCTTCAGTCGATAAATCTGAGAAAGGGAAGAGCTAAGGACAGACCAGGATAAGATTTAAGTAGAGGAGTTCTTTTTAAACATTCCCTATCACAGGTGATTCCATTTTGATTGCCTTGGAACCACAGGAGATTTCAAAAACACAGAAGCACAGATACTTCAGTAAACCCTCAGAGATTCTGGTTTAACTGGTCTGAACTAAAACTTGGACATCAGTATCCCAATAGGCAACCAAAATTAAGAACCTCAGGCATTTCTAATACCCAGTGGGCCTAGCACTGCATGAAACTGCAAAGCCAACAAATGAAAAAACTATCATATTAACTACTGTACTATTAGAATATAGCAATAAGTACATACAAACTTCTTTTTCTCTCAGGAAAAAGTACACTTGATTGAAAAAGTCTCTGCAAACAGTCCCCTATTTGTTGCTTAAGAATGTCTTAAAAACCAGGACCAGCAGTTAGTGTAATGGCTATGTTGCTGGACTCCCACATAGTTGACCACGGTTTGAGTCCCGAACTCTGTGGCTTGAACTCATGCTGAGCATGCGTGCGCATGTCCGTGCCCAAGATCCAGAGAGGAGAATGGAGGAGAAGGGATTGCAGTGTGGCCATCCCCCCTGGGAGGTACTTTGTCGCCTTCTGTCTCTCTGTCTCTCTCTCTTGTCTGTCTGGCGAGCACACGCCCTATAGCGAAAACCTCTCTCAAAAAAAAATTTAAAAAAGAATGTCTTAGAAATCAAAAAGGAGAGTTGCTCTGTACTTTATTTCCTTCCTTATATCCTAGAAAATATTTTGTACCACTGACAGACTTCAAAGTTTAAGAAGGCTTAAAAAATTTACTAATTTGTGAATCCATCACCAGCTTCATGCAAGACTTATTTTATAACAGAGATTTTTGTTTGTTTGTTATAGGGCATGTGCTAGTGAAAGAAAGAGGAGAGAGAGAGAGAAAACACCCCCGAGGAAGGGGAGATAGAGAGAAAGAGTGAGAAATCATCCCCCAGGGGAGATGGCCATGCTGTAATCTCTTCTCCTCCATTCTCCTCTCAGGATTTTGAGCATGCACGCACATGGGACCAGTGTGTCTTTGAAGCCGCCAGATCTAAGACTTGAACCACACTGTCAGCCATGTGGAACCCAGCCACCTGAACTACCTGCCACCTGCTGGTCCTTCTAAAGGCTTCTAAATGGTGGGGTTTTTTGTTTGTTCATTTTTTTTTTTTCAGAAACTATTCTTCAATCAGTAGAAACTAAGAAAAGAAAGTTAGGTACCAGAACCCTAGCCAGAATAAGAACTCTTGTCTATTTTACATACTAGGTTTCTGTTTTGTTTGAAAACAGCATTTAAGGGCATATAATGGTAATACACCCACTGTGTTTTCTCTCATAACTATTCTAACCATCTTCTTTAGTTCATTGATTTCTGATTTCAGTTATTTTCTTCCTTTCCATGTCTTTATTATTACTTGTTGCTCTATTTCAAACTTCTGGTTGAGTGCTCACATCACTGACTTTTCATTAGTTTCTGATGCGTGTATTTTTTAAATGTAAGTTTTGGTGCTGGTGTCATAATGCAGCACTTAGCCACTATGCAGAGGAAGCTGGATCACACATAGCCAACCAGAGTTTGAGTCCCAGTCCTAGCAGCTTGGAAATCTCTACCATGTGAGTGCTTACATGCATATGCCCAGGATCCTGATGGGATGGAGAATAGGTGGGAAAAGGACTGTGGCATGACCAGGCCCACTTAAGAGAGCTTTCTCTATCTCTTTCTCTTTCCCCCTCTCTCTCATCACACACATACACCCTTTGATGTTAAAACATACACGCATATCTAAATTCTGCTGTTTGTCAATATTCATCTGTACTGGTTTCTTTGGCAAGTAGTTGTAAATATATCTTAATTTCTTTATTTTTTTAACTGAAAGGTATTTAAATGCATCTTTTCATTTATAGACAGAATTTGCTATTAATTTCTATTTTTATTATATTTAGTTATTATAGATGAAACTGATAGAAAAACGTATTAGGGCTTTCTTTGTGGCTATGTACATAATTGATCATTGCAACTAATTCTATGTGTGCTTATTTTGTTCACATTAATTTTGACCTTATTCATTATAAGATTCAAATCTTGCTTGAGAGTGCTTCCTAAACTCTACAATTAAAATTGTTGACTTTTTTTTTTCTGGCTATAGTTCTTTTCTGTTTTGTTTTGTTTTGTTTTGTTTTTGTTTTTAGAGGTTTTAGCTATAAGGGGTGTGTGCTCACCAGAAAGACAGAGAGATAGAAAGCAAGAAATCACCTCCTCCCCAGGAGGGATAGCCATGCCACAATCCCTTCTCCTCCATTCTTCTCTCAGGATCTTGGGCATGCATGCATGCATGCACACACGCCCAGCATGATAAGCCACCAGGTCTGGGACTCGAACTGCAGTCAACTACATGGGAGTCCAGCGACGTAGCCATTACACCATCTGCTAGTTCCCTTTTCTGTTATTTTTAACATAACTTCATGCCACAACTTTTGATCTAATTATTCTTTTAGTATTTGAATAATGTTCAGTTTTGTAACCTCATATTTTTTAAATTATACTCATTAAAATATTAACATATTAATATTATAGGCTTTGGAAGTTATTTAGGTAAAACCGTAGATTTCTTCTACCAACATGACTTAATTGCTTCTTCTGAGACACTTTAGGCTGGGACAGATAAGATTACAAGCCTGAAATTAAATTCACAGTTTACAGGCCAGCCCGTGGCATGGTGGTTAGGGTGGCTGGATCCCACATGACCGAGTATGTGGTGTTAATCCCTGATGGCTTGATAAATACACTGGGTAAACATGCGTGCATGCCC